GACTACGGCATGCACGACTATGAGTACCCCCCCCCCCCCTCTCTCTCTTGAGACACGAACGGCATGAGTGCAACAAGTTTCTCGCTTGTTTAGACTACATGTGTGCACAAGAGCGACAGCACTGCGAAGCACGCAGGTCTTTTCTCTGCTCCGGCTACCATCTCTCGGTTTGCATTCCTTATCCACCCTCACCAAAGCGATCTCCCAGTTGGTCAGCATGGATCTCTTGGCTCTTTCCTGCGTCCCCTGTCTTGACGCTGCCCAACCTCCAGGCTGCGCAGGGGTGTTGGTGTGCTGCGGCACGGGACTGTCGTCTCTTTTCACCGGTATATGAAAAGAGGCGTGTGCGGCGGCATTTGCGTCGTGTAGATGGTACCGTGCACCTACTGGTATGTACATTTTGGTACGTTTCGCATTCCCCCCCTTTCTAATATCTACCAGTCGGCGAGGGAGAGCTGCGCTGCTGGGTCGAAAGGGGGGCCGCGGTGTGCTTGGAAACATGGGTCAGCAATAATTGACACAAGGCAAGGACCAAGCGGTGCCATAACAAAGGTGAGCGTCGGTGGACTTCTGCTGGACGTTACCGGTATCACTGACAGACTCACGGGAGGATCATATGCCGTGCAGGGAGCGCGAGAGGGCAAAAGGCGGGCGATACTTCGAGACGTCGATGTTGTTGATCGGGGCTGCTTGATACAGTGTCACTGCTACTCTGCAGCATGTTCTCACATCGTCATGCTTCTTGATTATAAAGTAACAGGTCCCGTGTCGCTGTGGTGACAGCAGCAGTACTTTTGTACCCACCCCCAAAACTGCAACTTCGCATCCGCATCCCTCCCCTCATATCCACGGCCGATTATCAAGCAGCGGATCTCTTATGTACTGGGCGCGCGTTAGCCCCCTCGACGCCAGTCCCACGGAGGTTTGGATGAGCGATGGCGATGGTGGAAAAAACTGCCAGGCAATTTTTCGTGTAGGCCCGCAGGGTGCCATTTGCCAGAGTTGTTGACGGTGCGTTTGATTTCGACGGCTGCGGTGCGAAAGTGCGAAACAAGACCGAACCCCACCGCAACGCACCGTCACACTTCGCGAGATGGAAAAAACCGCAATGCACCTCACCATGGGGATTCACAAGGAACCGTAGATGCGGCTTTACGACGGTGCGGTTTGTCTGACGGTACTCTGTCGCCGAAACCGCGAAAAAACCGCATCAAGGTCACCGCGTTTCCACGCAGACGTACACCAGGAGTACTTCTTTTTCACCGACGCAAACGGAAGGAACATCGTGTTCCCACACCGTGCACGATACCGCCTCGGTCGCTACACCCCCTGTGCCCAACTTCGCCCCATCCCTGACAGAATCGAACCTCGATGCTGGCGACAAACCTCATGCCGGGGTCGCCGCACATCCACTTCCTCTTTCTCCCGGTGGCGCACTACCGCTCATCTCACTCTGAGTGAATGCAGACACGCCGATCAAGGGCCGCTGCTGGTCGCGTAAGGTATGGTTTCGTCTTGTTACAATCGAATTGAGTTACCCTCTTGGTTCTCCCCGCCTTTGAATTCGCCCTGGTTGCAAAGCAAACATCAACCATCAAAACCATCGAGCGCGCCATTTTGTTTTTCTCCTTTTCTCGTACATTTCTCCTACCCATTCTCAGGACAGGGCACGATCCTGGACGCCTTCATCGTGGCATTGAGCCGAGCATGCGTTGATGGAGAAGACCTTTGGTATGCATCTACTCTTGAGCTACAGCTCGTGTCGCTGGAGTTTTGCCGGGTGTGCAGAAGTATCCCGACCTTGCACGTTCGTGTCAACCAGGAAACGCCTCGTAGCTTGTGGCATCCTTGGAAGTCAAACACCACACCGACAACCACACTGTGGCTCCTCGAATCTCGGGCCGCGTGCCGGTGGTGTCGGCTTTTGGTTTGAAGTGATCACGTTCGATGAAGGTTCTGCAGCAGATTTCTGCCATTGAGCCGTTGTCGAGCTTAGAGCTGCAGCTGGCGTATTCTTCGACTGTAGGTAGCCTCGAATCGATGTTTTGGCCTCAAGGGCTCAAATGGTTGGTCTTTGGTTTGGATACTGCCGTGGATACGGTGCCGTGGCCGGCGTTCCAACGCTACAAACTTTAACGGTTCGGACATTTGTTAACAATCCATGACCGGAGTCGTATGGCCGGCCGCTCTGCAGGAGTTGTTCGTTGGGAATGGTTTCAATCAGTCAATTGCCGAAGTCGTCTGGCCGGCCTCACTGCAAAAGCTATGGTTTGGGGCGCGCTTTAACCGACCTATTGTAGGAGTCGAGTGGCCGGGCTTCCTGCAAGACCTATGGGTTGGGGATTGTTTCGATTAGCCCATAGTCGGGGTCGTATGGCCGGGCTCGCTGCAGAAGATGGGGTTTGGGCAAACCTTCAACCAATCCATTGTAGGAGTTTTGCGGCCGGTCTCGCTACATAACCTATTTTTCGGCGATAGCGTCAACCGTCCGATCTCTGCAGTCGAGTGGCCGGTCTCCCTGCAAGAAGTGTGGTTTGAGGATCATTTTAACCAGCACATTCTCGGAGTCGTATGGCCGGACTCGCTGCAAAATCTGGGGTTCGGACATTCGTTCAACCAACCCATTGTAGTATCGTTGTGGCCGGTCTCGCTACAGAACCCGTCTCGCTGTCTTATGTGCCTTCGACTCACTGTGCCTGCCACCCGCCGCCGTTATATGTGACTGCCACGCCTCTGCGTACCTCCTCTATTCCGTCACCTCCTCTCACGTAGTACGTACGTGTGCCGACGCCTCCTTACATATTCACGATTCAGACCTGCTTCACAAACACCAGATTTACTGCGTTCAATCTTTCACTTTGTTCCGCTCGTTGAATTTGGCATTTGTTTATTGATAGACGTTGTTCTACAATTGACAACGTCAGCCACCTTCTACTTTGGTGGCCTACCAATCAGTCACACATCAACTCCATTGCCACCCGCAAGCTATCCAATGTACTTCCCATCCATCATCCATCATCCATCTATGTAGCCCCCACTTTCATAGCCTGCACTACCATCCTTACCCCTGTTTCACGTGCTCGTAACCTACCATCAAACAGCTACAACACCTATCGTTCGGGCTTTGCTTCAACCACACTATCGTGGGAGTTGTGTGGCCGCCCTCCCTGGAACAACTATCATTTGGGCGTTTGTTCAACCGCACTATCGCCGAAGTCGTGTGGCCGGCGTCCCTTCAGCAGCTGTCGTTTGGGTACTTCTTTGACCACCCATCGTCGACATCGCGTGGCCGGCCTCCCTTCAGCAGCTATCCTTTAGGCACCAATTCAGCAAGACTATCGTCGGGGTCGGGTGGCCGGCCTCCCTGCAGAAGCCATCGTTCGGCGATCGCTTCAACAAGCCCATCGCAAGGGTATCGTGGTCGCCTTTCCTTCAGCAGCTATTGTTCGGCTGCTACTTCAACCAAACCATAACCGGGATCAAGTTGCCAGACTCCCTGCAACAGCTATCGTTCGGTGACCGCATCAATCAACCCATCGCGGGAATCGGTTGGCCGGCTTCCCTGCCGCAGCTATGTTTCGGGTGTTTCTTCAATCAGCCCATCACCGGGGTGGTTTGGCCGGCTTTACTGCGGCAACTGTCCTTCGGGGATCAATTCAACCAAGCGATCATTGGGGTCGTGTTGCCGGACTCCCTGCAACAACTGTCGTTTGGACTCAACTTCACCAACCGATCGAGGGAGTCGTGTGGCCTGGGTCCCTGCAGCAACTGTCGTTTGGGTACTGCTTTCACCAGCCCATCGTCGAAGTATTGTGGCCGGCTGGTCTGAAACGGTTATCATTTGGGGATTTGTTTGACCAGCCTATCACCGGAGTTGTGTGGCCGGCCTCTCTGCAGCAACTGTCGTTCGGGCCGACCCATCACTGGTGTAACGTGGCCGGCTTCCCTTGAACAGCTATCGTTTGGGGAATGCTTTAATCAGTCCACTACCGGAGTCGTGTGGCCAGCCTCCCTACGGCAGTTGTCGTTGGGGGGTATATGTCACCAGCCCATCGTCGGAGTCTTGTGAACCTGGTGATCGTAGCTTTGTTGAGCTCAGAGAATTCATCCGCGGCGAAGAAGAGAGCAATAGCAGAGACACTGATGATACATCAAAAGGATACCGGTGTGGGCAGGACGCAAAGCTTGCCTTTGGTACCGGGGTCGCTTCGATTGAAATTCCTTTGAGAGGGCAGTCGGGGCGTAACTCACTAGAAGGCACCACCGCGATTTTGTGCGTATAGCTTTCCGAGCTGAGAGGACTTGGAGCCCGGTAAAAACCCAACCCTATTGGGATTGGAAAAATATTTTCACGCTGGAGGAGTCCGGCATCGCCGCGAGGGCCAGCAATACTGTACTTGTGAAACAGGAGAAGGGTCGATCGGGGGGTTCGAGCCCACTGTCGAATTTGCCGATATTGTTGTTGTTGTTTCTCACATTACCTCCATAGTCCACAAAAAATGGGGAGCCCGTGGTCTCAAAACCCGGCACATACGACGCCGCGGGGAAACAAAACGAAAATAGGGTGCAAACCACTCGGAAAAAGAAAAAATGTTGTAGAAAGAAAAGAACAGGTATCGCATCGACCGTTCGAGAAAAGAGCCCTCCTCGTAAACCCATCAAAGTAAAACAAAAACAAAAATAAACGTGGACGCTTCCCACACCCGCCCAAACAAAAAATCAAAGGGTAACGTACCAGCACCAGGCACTATAGCCATGTGCGGCAAGCAGGCGTGCCGGACTTCAAGCAAACAAGAAAGAGCACACCTCGGCAACAACACGTCCAACAGCACGAACAGATCTTGCTCTGTTGCTGTATCATATGCAGAGCCCAACCAACGTTGATGCACAGTACAATAGTAGAGTTCGTCTACAACTAGACGATACCTCACAACACAACTCCGCTCTCGTATAGAGTCTACATCTAGACTAGACTATACCTCACAACACAACTCCGCTCTTCTCGTGCATTCATTCTCAAATCACCAACTGCTGCGGCTGCAGACTATATCAGCTCGGCCACTCGAATATGATCCACACAGCAGCAGCAGCTTCAATCGCGCGCACACATACCTAACACCCACAGCTACACATATGGTCCGTTCGGGCAAATATTCACAATATTTTACCCTGCACAAAGGTGCACTTTTCTCGGGGTTTGTTGTTGTGTTGTTGACTTCACATTAAACCGTATGCCAGTTGCTAAATGCCAAAATCTAGC